CTGTCAAAATGAAGAGGAAGAATATTTTCAAGTATTTTTTCCCATTCATGTTTCAAGAAAAAAGGAGTGACTGCATTCATCCAGCTTGATGTGTTGCAAGTTACTTCATGAATATAGGAATGCTTGATAACTAAGTAGCCTTTTTGCCTTCTAAGTAAACAAGTACCCCCAAAAGTGTTCTCAGTCCTGTGTGCTGGATGCATGGTCCAGAAGAGCTGAACAGTAATTCTTGTACAGTCTTTGAATAATATTCATTTTAATATCTTGATCTAGAAAGGTAAATCTTGGATTTTAGTGTCTTCAGGATACAGTTGCATCCTGACATGGTTCTTAAATAGGAACTTGCAGTAAAATAGGGATTTTTATAGCTGTCTAGTGTTTTAATCTTGCTTTTTAAAAAGAAAGAACAACCAAGTAGCTCACCCTAAGCTGGTAAGTGCTGTTTTTCCCCAAGAAAGTGGTTAGCATCACAAATGTTTTATGAGTGTGGTCCTGGGAATTAGAGCATGATCTTATTAGTGCCATTTCTGACAACCTTGCAGTGAACCAAACGATGAGGTAGATGATGACAGACATGGTGATGAAGGAGAAGCAGCGGGAAGCCTTTTGTAGGAAGGTGTCTTTTCACAGAACCTAGGTTCTGTACATCTGTGTTTTGTTTTCTGTTTGTTATGTCTTTCTCTTTGGAAGCAAGGAGGGAGGAGATGAGAGAGAGAGGAGAGTCGTGCTTGCACGGAGGCAAGTAGTGCAAGGAAGCCTGAAGGAAGCAAGTTCATAGATGAGCTTGACGAAGGAAGAGAAGGTTAGTAAGTGTGTACTAAAGGTGTCTATTACAGAAATATATCCATGGAATATTTAGAAAGATCCTGGAGAGTTGTCTTCTAGCACTTTGAGCTGCAGAATCTGTTGTTAACCCACCTTTATCGTACCATGCAGCCTGGCCTCTCTGACATGTAAACCAGGATCAGTTTTGTCTCTCATGGCAGTAGTGCATGGCTGTGGAAGAGCTGGAATCTAGGAGGAGAGCGATCACTGCAAGGCGCTGTGGTGAGTTCCCCAAGCCCAGGCTCTGGGGTGCGAGCAGGTTCTGAGCAAGTGAGAACCACGTCAGGACTGGGAGGGAAGAAGGAGCTGACTGATCGCAAAGCTGGGAAGCTCTCAAGTCATTCAAGGTGGAGCTGGATTTAAGACCTTGCAGTGTAGGTGGTGAATGGTTTGAGTTTAAGGCTTAGCTCTTGGTAAGGACTTGGCTGAGGCTTTACATACCCAGCTGTGAAGTGTGCACAGGAGTGTGGTAGTTCTGTTTTAGTCCATCTTACCAAGCATTAGTGAGGTCAGATCTAATCTAGGTAAAATAGTTTAGCCTACATCCTGTCAAAAAGAGGAGAAGTGAATGTAACCCGTGTGGCATTTTCAGAAGGTTATTGCAAGTTCTTGTGCATTTCTTTCATCTTAAATTAAGTTCACAGAAAATAGATGGTGTCGTTTGGTTTCCTTTTTCTGGTGTGGTGCACAAAACTGAATGTTATCTACAAAGTGAGTGATGGGATGAACCTGGGGTTGGATTTTGCTAGTCTTAACAATAACGTTAAAAACTTAAATTGTCTTAGAAACCTTGATAGCATAGTGGAAAAGCAGTTCCTGCAGTCAAACTGTAATCATGATGGGAGGCAATGTAGAAGCATAAATGAAAAAGGTCAAAGTTGTAATGAGGAACAAGTCTTATTTTGAGAGTTTTATCCAAAGAATTGGGAGATTTTTGACTGAGGAAATCATTGTGTTCTAATTGGTATCAGTGTGATGAATACCAGCTCTTTGGGTGACCAATTATTATGAAAGGGTATCAGGAAACTTGGATTTGTATCAGAGGATAGCTATGGCTGTATTCCTAGAAGGGAAGTGTATTGCAGTCTCCAACAAACCAGCTGGATGCCTACTGGCATTTTAAAACAAAGAACTCTGATTCCATTGATGGTAATAGCAGTGGTGTCATTGGTTTCAGTAGAAACAGAAAGTTCTTACTTCTAATATGAAATACGGGATCTTTTCATTGCACATAAGAACATTTTAAGTGGGTTTTTTTGTATTTGTGTGTCTCTGTCTCATTTTTTTGTTTCTGTTCAATAATTATTTTCAAAGGCCATCTTTGTATTTCCAGTAAAATGCTCTAGGTTGTCATGTTACTTTTGGAAACTGTGACATTTTGTGCTTAATGCAAAGCAAAATCTAGGCAATAGGAAAAGCTAAATAAGATTTTCTTTATCAATGCAGCAGTTGCCAGCTAATAGCAATATGTTAAACTCTTCCTTTCCTGTTGTGCAAACATCATTAGCAAGCTTTGCTTGCAGCAAAATTATTACTGGTGCTAAAAGTGATGTACAATGTTTTGAATGAAAAATGATGTTTTTAATTCCATTCTTTTATTGCCTGATGGTTACCCTATACCCATATTTTGTTCAGTACATCCTTTTTATTTATTTATTCATTTTCCATTCAGGCAATATCTTTGGATCTAAAAAATAAATAATTTGGCAAAGATTTTGGTACGACCAGCAACCTGACTGAGATCATAGCTACATATAACAATCACTCTCACCAGCTGCTGGATGGCTGCAAATTCCACAAAAAGGCCATCAGATATATGTGCAAGTGTTTGATCTGTCAAAATGATCAGTATGTGCACATTAAATCCAGTTAACGTGGATTTATTGGGCCCATAAAGATTGGCTGTGAGAGTGGCATTTTTAGGAGGTCTAATGCATCCTGACTTACCCTGTGCATCTGATTCCTCAGCCTATGAATAACGCAGAGGCTGAGCACATTTGGCGTATGGGAGAGTGGATATGCATTATACAAGTCAAAAAGAGTTATTGCAGGTTTGCTTTTGAGGCAGGGTGTTGTACTGCAGGTGTACTCGGGAGTTTGGGAGAGCCTGGAAGGGGGGGACAGTATCTAGATCTTTCCAGTGGGTCCTCAAGCTCAGCCAGAGGTTCAGATCTGCGCAATGAATGCAGTTCATTGCATTGCGTATTATGGCCTGAAAAAAATGACTTATTATTGTGACAGCACTTCTTAAAATGCTAGAAGTATGATTTGAAATAGGGAATAGTATTGATCTTATTGTTGATTCAGAAAATCATGCAAAGAGTTTATCAGCGAGTGTTGGGTTTGTGGCCACCCTGGCAGGATAGAAACAGAAATGACCTAAAGATGCATTGAGTACACTAGAACACAGGCATGCTGCCACTGAGAGGTGATTTCGTAGTGATGCTGACTTGCTGACTGTTTTGTGGTTTGCAAAACAGCTGTAGGAGATACAGACCATGATGAGTCCCTTTCACCCTCACTTGGAAGTAGAGTCTGTGAAAGTTTGGGAAGGGCACTTCTCTCCCAGCCAAGCCTGCTCGTTTGTAGACATGACTCTAAAGTACTGCAGAATGTACCAGAAAAAGTCCACGTCAGGGTTTCCAGTTGAAGACTTGAGGCTTGATACTGTATATCTTTTTTTTTTTTTTAAGTTGTTTCTTTTCCATGTGATAAACTGGTGACATGAGACATATTCAGAAATATCCCCCCTTCCCTGACCTGACTGCATTTCTGTTCTTTATGCTGTTGAGCAGCTTGCAAAAAACGTAGTTTGTCTGTTGGCTGTGTTACTTGGGTCGCAGGGAACCTGCTGTTAGCAGGGAATCCACTGCTAAAGCATGCCACTTACCCGCTGAACAATGCCCTGAACAGGTGAAGCAGATAATTTTGCTGATGCCTGGTGTAACTAAATTATATAAAGTTTAATATTTAATAAAAGACGAGTTTAATAGACGAGAGAACATTTTGTGTAGTGGCTGAAAGAATTTTACTTTTGGTACCCGCTTAGTGACTTGTGACTGCGAGGTTTTCAATGGTTCACTAAAACTCATTTATCTGGTCCTGGACAGGAATGTGTGGCAGGGGCTCCTCTCTGTTCAGAACAGGCTGATGGTCTGCCAGAGGAGATCATCTGCCATTAACTGATTTTTCTAATTAAATAATGAGGTTGGTCCTGCTCTCTAGATCTATTAGAAAATCAGATTCAGCTGAGCATGCTATCGGATAACGTTCACACTACATCAGCTAAGTTTTTATAAATGCTCTGGACTTTGGTTTTACTCTTATTCTGTGACACTTAAAGGTTATCCTTCGTTGCATTCTATTGTCAGTGAAATTGGAAATCGAGAATGTGGCTGATCATTTACTGAAACCCAGAAAAAGCTAAACTGATTAGCTATTGCAGGAAACCATAGAAAATAAATGCTTGCATGTGTTTAGATGGAAAGAAGAAATAATTTAAATTAAATCTACTAAACCAGCAATTGCAGCTACTATGGCTATAGACATGATTTATTATTAATACAGCATCTGCTGATCATCTCATGATTTCATTAGTTCTGTAATTCTCTGGGGATTTGCAAATCAGATAGGACCCTTTGAATGTTAAAAAAAAATGCTGAAAAAGAGAGTCTTCTCTATTTTCTCTTCCTCTTCTCGTCACCTTGAAAATGCACAAGGTGCTCTTTGGCAATTTCTCAGGTTAGAACTAAAGTCAGAAGTTGTAATTGTGTGGTCAAATTCTGTACACATTTAGTTAAATTGTCCAAACCCCTGATAAAGACAGTCGTGTTTCAGGTTAATGTTCATGTTATTGTCTCATAAGTAAATTAAAGAATTTCCATTCAAGAAATTTGCATCATATTTAGAAAAAAGTGATTTTAAATATTGGTGTGTTTGAAGACTTACTGTAATTTGGATTCTAAATCAGATTCCTCCATTTATTTTCGTGTGCAAATTGTCAAGAATTCAATGCGTGCTGTTTAGTGATATGTTTTTTTCATAGTGTGTAGTTTGACACAGATAGAGATCCTTCGTAAACATGGGAGATAAAGCTGGAACTTGAGCTATGTGGGACACTACGTGATTGTGTTTTTTCGTTACAGAAGCCTTAATAAGTCATCCTGCTTTTAAGAACGGTTCCAAATACCATGGTACTGCCTGGAACATTGCTTTAAATTGTTAAGAAAAGGAATTTACTCTTAAGGCTAAACATCTTTTTTTTTTGTTGCACGACTGCGAGTTGGGTTCCTTGCAACCCTTTAGCCATTCTCTGGCTTGAATCAGAGGCTTTTTTTCTTTCACATCAACCAATCACACTCCTTTAGAAAGAAGAGACTTTCAAATAGCCTGGAATATCCATGCATTTATTGCTTTTCAGAACAGAGTTGTAAAAATTGTGGCACATGCACGTTTTTTCCTCAAGCAAACGCTAATTCAACAAAATATTAAAGCTCCCACGTGAACAAGTATATTTTAACACCTTTCAGTTTAGGTAGGGTGGACAGTATAATGTTACAAATTTCCTAATTTCATTTGCTTTTAACAACTATTTGACTACTTGTTAGAAGAACTCTTGACATCAAATCCAGGGTGACTGGCTTGCAAGCCATTTTTTTTGTAAATGCCAACCGCTCTAATAAATGGCTTTTTAACCTCTGAGTATTCTGAACTCCACTCATTCCTTTATTAGCTCTGCAAACTCTCTGGTAGTGTCAGGGCCTCTTTTAGCAGCTGAGTTACAATATACCAATTATGGCTGCCCCAATTATTGCGCATGATTAGTTAGTAGTCTCATGAAATGAGCTGCGGTGTAATGCAACTGCCGCTTGTGCCAACATGATAACAACTCTACAGGATCACTGCAGCAGTACATTTTGCTTAAAATTGCGGTTTGCTACTTTAAAGGTTGTGGCATTGCCCTCCATGATACTCCTCTCTTGAGCCAACAGAACTCTAGGCTGGTGGCATGTAGGACTTACTGTAGAATTATTTTGTTTGGCTGGGTGTTTGCAGGAGCAGCAGTGAATACAGTGCAGAATGGTCATGGATTTGGAAGGATTTTTTTCCTCTGGCCAAAAAGTACTGATAAATCACCAAGAGCTTCACCTTCCAGCAGAGCTGAGCAGTTGATGAGAATTAGGAACAGTTAGCCTTTCCACAGATCCAGCCTTTATACAGAAGTTTTAAAGAGCATTTTGAAACTGAAGTGGACAATTTATTTTTAAAATTTTCAGTGAAAATACTGAAGTCCATTTTCTCTTTTAAGTGGTGTTTTCTACAGCTAGCTGAGATAAGCCTCTGATCTCTGCTTAACATTTTTTGTTAGCAAGTATTTTTGTACTTGTGGATACAGTGAGTGTCCTTGTGTACATTTTACGCCTCTGGAGTATCACAAGTTAATTGGGTTGAGTAATTTCTCGATAGAATGCCACCCAAGTTAACACAGTTTCATTGGTTGAATATGAATATTGCACTGGTTATTTAATCGCTGCTCTCCAAGAAACAAAAAAAATGTGTATACTGTCACACAAGATTTTCTGAGCTGCCCATAGAGCTATAAATAACTTCTCAAGGTACACGTGGGCTGATAACTGAAGACAGGCTGGAAAATAGATCGCTGTATTGTGAGTGCTGAGACAGGTTACAAAAAGAATTAGTAACAAGCACTGCAAACACATAGCTAGTGATTTGATGTCTACGTTTTTGTCCTCCAAAGCCAGCATCCAAAGTGGGGGAACCGTACCAGTTTCCAAAGACGTTGCGTCAGCATTGCGATGTCCTGGTCTGCTCAGCAAGTGCTGGTCCAGGTCTAATCAGGAGCCACAGCAGGATGTTGTTTTGTGGACTGTTTTGTTACCAATATCTTTTTTTTTTTTTTGTTCCCCCTGTTCTGAAATCCTGTTCTTCAATTCTATGAAAAATGCAGTGTTGATGGTACAAAAATGAATCTGTTTTGAAAAGAGGAAGCAATTGCACGAAGGAGGCTGCTAACAGCATCTGAAGCTGCTAACAGCATCTGATCCAAATATATCTTAATGAACCGAGCAGATTCTGTGCTTGTCACATTTGGCCCGTGGCTTTTTGTACTTTACCACAAGAGGAGTAACATAATATATTCTTGAAGAACTTGTATAGGAAATGTGAATATTTTGCTTCTGCAAATGCTTCTGAAGATCAGGCTGAACATGCAGATTATAACTTGACAAATAGACGTCGTTACAAGAACGATATTAAGATTTGGAGGAAGATTTTTTCCTGTGGGCAGATTATCCCATAGTTGCCTACTGCAGAGTTTTTCCATCTTCCCCAGGAAGCAACACATGTTTGATTACCAGGAACAATAGGATTCTTTAATTAAGTAGTTCTAAGGTCTTGTCTTGGAGAGCAGCTCCTGTGTCGCCTTAGAATAATGGTCTGACTTGTCAGTCATGTCTAGGTATTACATGCTATGCACAAATGTGCATTATATTGTGTGATACATCCAAGTAGGTGATAAAGAGAAGTTGAAATGTATTATTTCATATTTATTACTGTTATTAATCTTTAGAGACTTATTAAATAACTCTGCTTTACATCTGATTAGCTTGTATTCTACAGAAGTTGATTCAGTAAACTCAAGGCTTAAATCTAGGGGCAGAGGGGTATGAGCATGGACAGGGTGTGTGGCACCTTTTCTACATTCCATTTTGATCAACTATTGCAGTCTTCATAAGAATATATATAATATAAATTCATCTGAGTCATTAGTGCTTCATTATCTTAATAAGCCATTTCCTTTTCTACCATCAAGGGGGTAACTACAAGAAGGAAAGATATGAATAGTGCGTTACAGTGTTTGTCACTCATTTGGTAGGTTCCTTTAAATGAAATTTCAGTATTGTGTGCAGTGTACAAACACGTCTTTGATGATTTGTTAATAATACTTTCATTTTTCCCAGATGGATTTTGTCCTGCAGTAATATTAACAGCTGCAAGATGTTTCAGTGCAGTATGTTGAAGAATAAAAACAGAGTCAGTATTGGGAAAGTTTCAGAATAAAGGTCATGGTAGAATAATTGTGACTTATTCTTACTGCATTGTCAAATTGATATCAACTCCTCTTTTTCTCTTAAAATGAGTCTGTCCTTTTTGATCTCACAACTTGTGTTTAGTTTCAGCATTTGTACATTTAAATCTTAGACCATTAATGTGAGTGTATAGTGTTCAAGCTGCTTGTATCAACTATGACTTCTGAATATATTTCAGAAGACTTTTAAAATTGCCCATGGTAATGTAATAGGCAAAAGAATGGAAGTTCATCATGAAGTTCAGACAAGCATTTTAAAACTAAAACCGCAGGTTTGTGTCTTAGCATGTTGTAAGGGCAAAAAGTATATTTTATGTGGCGGCTGTAGAATGTGTTTTCTTTTTTAGCAGATTTGTTACAACAGGAAAATAGTGTAGCCGTATGCAAAGCAACTGTCCTATCCTACTCATTCTGCTTACTGACACTCAAGAATTTTTCTTTCCTTTCAGATGCAGTGTCCACATCTGCTTATTCATCACCAGCCAAAAGTTTGGGAGACCCTGGAATAACTCCACTGTCTCCATCACATATTGTGGTAAGAACTACACTCTTAACATGTACTGTATGTTGTCATTACTTCCTCCTGCTAGTTTAGTGGGATGTAATTTCTTTAGAAAGTTGTAATTTCCTCCTGTAGGATCCCTTTTGTGCTATCCAGAGTCTTAAGTGAAATTTTGGTGACACTGCGGTTGGTGACAGAGCTTTCATTCATTTCATTGGGGTCCTGGTGTTGCTTGTTTTTGTCTGTTTGTTGAGCTGATAGATTTGCTCGTGCCTATTTTTATGTCAGTTGTGGGGGCTTCTTGATCTTCAGGCTTCCCAAGTTCTGTCACTATCTGTATCACAGATTTGTTTAGGCAGCCCCTGAAAAGTCTCATTCTGTTCAGGAAGGAAGAAGGGTATCTATAATACTCAACAGTAAAATCCAAATTCCCAGAGAGAAGAATCTCTTCCAACACAGAGAGAAGCTCGAAACAGAACTGTTTTAGTTTCTTAAGGAAAATAACCACTTCTGTAAGCTTTTAGAAGCAAGCAAATGTCCCATGAAGGTAGTGTGTTTTAATTTCTTGTAGATCATGCCCATTTTGTTGATAAACTCCCCTTAAAACTAAGTCCCATATGTTTTTAAGATCATCTGTAGTGCAGGATATGCACAGTGTATTTCTTGATATTGCAAGGGATCATGTTCAGAACACATTGCTACCCTTGTCAGATTTCTTCCTTAGCTTTCAGAATCTTAAGTTTAGAGTTGTACAACATCCCTCTTCAGGATTTCCAGAGTTCTTTCATAATCTTTTGCTTTATTCCCTTCTTTCTCTATGTACTCTAGAACTTCCCCCTTTTATTTCTGTCTTAGTGATAAATTTATGTCCTCTTTCAGTTAGATTTGCTCCTTAAACTCTTTGAAGAAGACATATAAATAACATATTTCCCTGGTTGAAAAGATTTATTAGGAAAATCCAAACAAGCTTTTCATTATTTGAGACCAAACCTTATTACTCTCGTTTCTCCATTTTAAGCAGCAGGCCTATGGGATGATCTTGGAAAATGTAGGGGTGCAACAGAAAGGTGCTGGAAGTCGCAGGAATGGAGAGAGCAGAGATACAAGGGGAGGATGATGGAACACTGCTCATAGAGTGATAATATTTGGCAGTTCGTCTGTAAAGGACAATAACAGTTGTTTCAAAGTGTTATTGAGAGTCCAGGCTGGACAACAGTGGTGGAGGATTCAGACAGGACCTGCATAGTAACAGATCAACAGGTCTGTTCTGTGGCGATTTTGCCAAAATGGTGTGTGTGCAGGTGGGTGTATTGCCCTCCTCCACTGTCTGCCAGCCTGTAGCACATAGCCCTTTCACCAGCATTTTCAGCTTGTTCTCTTCCCATCTTACTAAGCCGTTAGTGCTTTAACCACCAGCAGCGTGTGAATGGTAGTTCCTTGCTGTTCGTTACCGATTCCTCCTTTATATAGGACTTATGTTAGGCAGCCACATACTGGGGAGTGGTACAGTTCCTTGTTTATTTACGTCGTGCTTTATATCAGTTTCTTATGATTTTGGGCCATAACCCTTCCACCTCTTCTAATTAATTATTCCAAGTTGCCCTTGACTGTGCTTTTTAGGGATTGCAGGATTACGAGTAAAAGGCAGGGAGAAGGATTCAAATTTGCTAGAAGTCGCTGAACAGCTTTCCACATTCTAGCGCAGACAGGAGGAAAGAATACATGTAGGGCTTACAAAACAAGTGTTATATAAATTCTTCATAAATGAATAATTATCGTGGTATGTAAAGCTTATTGCTGTACTTTGGGTTGTTCTGTCTCCACGAGTTTTGAACAGTAGTAGTGCCTCGTGTTCAAGGTTATGACATAGATAACTCCTAAAACCACCAAGCCCCAAATATACCACATTGATGGATATAAGCATAGCCTGCAGTTGATCAGTTTAAAAAACAAACAAAAAAACAAAAAAATCACAGCCCCAACACCAATGACCTAGTGTTTAGCCATAAGTTTTAATGATACATGGTAACAGCTATTCCAAGAAATGAGTATGAAGGAGACTCTTGATTCAGAAGATTATGTATAAAAGGCTTCAACAAATCTGTTGAGTTGTATGCTGAATTTCCACTTCTGTTGAAATGTGGAGCTTTCTGGTATCAACTTGGGTCACAAATGCAGCTTTAGCAAAGTCCTTATTTCCAGGGAAGAGGGATGGATGCCTCAGGGAGCAGAAATACTGAAGGGTAAGACAGGTTGCAGTTGTTCTGGTAGTGACTCAGTGTCTGTTTTGCTTCTGCTATTTAACAGAAGGACTCTGATGCAGATGATGCTGTAGAACAGTTATTTCTTGTTGTTGTGGCTATTGATTTTGGCACAACATCCAGTGGCTACGCCTACAGCTTCACCAAGGAACCAGAATGTATTCATGTAATGAGGTAAGGGCTGCAATGCAGCATTTAGTTTTCGATCGTGATAACATGGATTGTCTGCAGTAGCCATTGAAATTTCTACAGGAGCCTGAAGTGTCTAGAATTGTCTAGTGTTGCCACAGTGCACACCTTTCTCATGGTTATAGTTTTTTGTTGCATCTTACTGTATTCTAATTTGCTTTAATAATCAATGTGAATGTCCACTCTGTTATTTTGCTGAATTTATGAGGTGATAACAGGAGGGATCAGTGAGTATTCAGAACTATTCAGAGAGCAGTGACGATTATTAAGTCAGGATGCCCTTACCTCAGAGATCTAGAGAAACTACACGTTTATTAAAGGTCATGGAATTTCCTAGGAGCTGCCCGTCCCCTGGAATCATGCTTGTATACAGTTGCGTGTACAACACTTAGTTATTTGCACCCAGAAAGTGGTAGTTCACTTGGCTGATTTAAGATTTTTAACATTGAATTTGAATGAAATCCTTGGTAATGAAGCATTGATACTGGGACATAAGCAATCAGAAGGCATGAATGTGAAAATGAAGTTTTGATGTAAAGTCTGTTCTGTATTATATGTGCATAAGACAGATTTTAGGTGCTGTTATGTAGGGGTTTTTTATTTCTTGATTCCATTTTCATAGGGGCTTTTATTTTTTTTACATATTTTTTTAAAATAATTAAAAACCTATACAAGTCTTATTAAAGTATCTTCAAAAAGACTGTATTGTAAGAAGGCCAAGATACAGGTAGTTGCAGACATAAACACGATGTGTGTGAAGAGCTTAGCCACAGAAGGTCTGAACAAAGCTGCTGTTACAACAATAGGTAACATACTGTGTGTAGCATACTGAGAACAAAAGGGGCAGAAGACTAACTTGCTGTAGTGCAGCATCATATGCTGTAATTTTTCTAAGCAAAGATGCTAGCCGAATGCAGCGCTCTCAATCTCAGCAGACAGTATTGATTGTGCAGTCAGCCTGCATAGCTGGTTAGTGTATGGTTGCAAAGTAGTTCAGAGAGCTGAAGCAACTGGGTGGTGTGAAATGCTGTCGAGCTGGACATAAAGTTTGGAGTGATATTAGGCCATCCAGTTCCAAATTCACCTACCATTTTCAGTACGAACAAGTAATGCTTCAAGACTTTTTCTGCATCCCATCCACCTGCTGTTCTGCAAACAGCACAGGAAGCTGCATGGTGCTGGAAGTCAAAGGAAAGGTTGTGTGTTGCTGTCTCAGGTTAGAGGGTTGTGGAGTCGGAACCCATGTTTGTCAATACCTATTCTCTTTTGACAACAAATAATTAATCATATTCCTTAAAGAAGTTAGATAAAATGAGGGAAGACATCTCTGAAGCCGTACCTGAGCAAGCCTAAATCCTATATACTACGTTGTTCCTATCATCTCTCTGGAGATTTTACTAGGTGAAGTCACTACTGGTTTTAAAGATGATGTTTAGGCCCTTTGAACTCAGAATTGTACCTCAGGTTTTGACTCTACCATTGGGTTCACACTACACTGCAGTAAATTACAGACTAGATTCTCCTGCTGGGGTACTAGACTTCCTGCTGTAGGTCACTGGGACATTGAAACCTCCGTGCTATGTGGCCAGCCGAGAGTATGTTCCAAATCTTAAATGACATTTTACTTTTTATGGTTCCAAATGCCGTATTTTATTCCTTATGCCATAGTGGTAGCATGATTATGATTTCAGACCTGTGTAGATATTATATGAGATCCTCAAGTAAAAAGAAATTAAACAAATTAAGTCATCTATTTTCAGCCAGAAGGGAGGAACATATTTTGAAGGGAGAAATGTATTCAGATTTCCAACAGGTATTTCAAACAATGGAAAATATTTTAATACCAACAATGATTTTTTTTTTTTAAATAAATACTGCTGGCAGGGAAGGATTTTGGGGAAGATACATGTGCAAATGACTTACAAAATAATGTATATAATATTTTTATATATATTTATGTGTAAATGGTTATGAAATCATGAAATTCAATAAAAGGAATGGTATATGTATTGCAATAAGGCTTCAGAAGTTCAGAAAGTATTAAGAGGTTTGAGCTCTGTATATAATGAGGCTTACATGTAGGATAATTTACAAGTATTTCAGCAGAGTAAATGTAACTTCCCGCCTGCACTCGAGAATGTTTACATTAAAATAAAGCATACCAATGAAGCAAAGAAGACCATGCATCCTAACATTTTTTCCACCTTCCCTTCTTAGTGCTGATCTTTTCCAGACATTTAGATTTCTGACTGCCTTTTAACAAAGCTGCTTTTCTGTAAATATCTCAGTGAAGGGTAAGATGGGTTTGTTTAGAAGGTCCTGCTTCAGGAAAGAGTGAACACACAGGACTTTAGTGCCAAGCAGTGACAGCAGAGTTGTGTTTAGAGTCTTGTAATTAGCAGACAAAGTCATGGTTTTGACTCTGTGTATTTATTTGCTGTGATGCCCAGTACTTAAAAAAAATGAATCTGTAGGCATTGACCTAACAAAGTTCTTTAAGCATATACTTAGCTTTAAATGTAGGAGTAGCCTCACTCACTTCAGTAGACTAAAGGATGCGTTTGGAGTTGGGTGTGTGTTTCTAGATGGTCGATGGATGACTTTACCTTGATTGCATAGCATTACTTACTGCTTGATCAGTTCTAGGTAATACTTCACACCTGTCACCTCTTCTCCCCTATCTTTACAGCTTCTGCAAAGATAGTTGTGGTTACCGCCAGGCTCTTGTTGCAGAGTAGAAGTGTATGTTACAACTAGCACTGTTTTCTGCATGCCTGGAGACTGAGTGCATGCGTACCAACAGCCTGGCCGTGAGTCCAGCAAGCACTGCTGTGGGCAGGGCAGAGCCAGAGCCATAACGAAAGACAGCTCGGTGCCACAGAAGGAGTTAATAACGTCTCCTCTGAAGGGAATACACCAGGCCTTACACAGTTTTGAAAAACTGCTACTGATTTATGTGCACTTATGTGAAGTTATGAATGTTTTGGCTGTTGGTTAAATAGCAACCAACTGAATGTAAGTATTTCACAAATGGAGAAAAAATAAATGGAAAACCACATGTGGTTATGAAACAAATTTCAGCCTGTCTTGGGAAGGAGGGAGAAGGTGGTCTTTTTTAGTGTAACTTTACTTCAACCTGCAGATTTTTGATTTTCCTTCTCTTCCCTGTTTGACTGTGACTCTTGGCAGACACAGGCTTACCTTTCTTGTCCGTACATTCTCCTGGCGGCGCTCGGCTACGGTTTGATGACCCCACTGCTTCGTTTCCTTGACTATTATGCTGCAGCTCTGGATCAAATTCACATCACTCTGCACAGATCACTCTCTTCGCCGTGTCCGTTAGCCAGATTCATGTGTCAGGGAGGGCATTTCTCTAACCTTAGTATAACCTCGTGGTCCTTTCCACACTGACTCTCCTCTTGTCTCTGTTCTCACTTTTAATATACCATCAGATCCTCTGTGGCTATAAACGGGTCTATACTGCTCTGTCAAGCTGCTCCACTTTGTCACCCTAGGAGCTGGTCTAATATGTTTGTGTTTAGGGAGAAATCTACCCTGGGTTCTGCTTGAATAGTTTTTTAGCTCTGATCCTGCTTTGAGAAAATATCCCCCACATGCATTTAGATATTCCTGGCTTGTATTAGGCCATGCTGTTAATAGGAAAAACAACACAAAACCAAAAAGAAATGCCCAAAAGCATTATTACCATCATTTGTAGTACTGGGACCATGAAAGAAAGCCGAAAGCAGAAGTGTTGGAATCCTAGCCCTGCTGACTTGAAGCCTCCGTTAACTGGAGTGAGGCTGGGACTGCGCCTGATAAGAGTGTCAAAGTCAGGAGTTACCATGCACGTGCCTTTGCAGCTGCTTCTTTCTAGAAAAGGTGTCACCCAGGAGTATTTTTAAAGCTCTGACTGCAAATGGTAAACTCGGACTTCCCCCTCTGTTTGCTTATTGCTCTTTCTGTGACTGAACAGCAATATAGGCTGAGAACTTTAGAACTTGCTGAGCAGTTATTGTGTCTAGTTTCCATCAGAAACTCATCAGGAGGTGAACATCCAATTCTCTAAGTGGCTTTGAAAATTTCAGCCCATACCACTGAGCATCAATTTGTCTGCTTTTAGACTGCACCTTAACTGTACTTATTCCGGAAAGAGAAAATGTGCCTAGCTGTAAAGAAAAATAAAGAAGCATTGTTATTAGCCACATCTTATTTATGGAGTTTCCCACCAGTGACTCAGAATGAATCATTAATGATTCCAACTGAAAATGATACCAGTCTGTCTCCTCTCTACTTGCAGTGGGTGTGGGATTTAATGTTCTGGTGAAATAGGCATTGTTTTCTGTTCATGGGCTGTGGGAACCCAGCTTCTTCACGTTGGAACTGTGTGTTTGCTGTAACACTTACTCAAAGATTTTGGAGCTGACCAAGTGTGTTTCTAGCAGCAGGTTAGAAGAAATGACCTGGAGCAGAGCCTTTGACAGCTGATAATAGCTTAGGGACTGAGCAGTGCAACTAGAGAGATTTAGGAAAAATTTTTCTGAGTGGGTGAAGGTGGAAATAATTCCACTTCTCATCATGCTGTTTCTGCTTTCAGAGCAGTGGAATTGCCCGCTATACTGAAGTAAACTCACAGACGTCGTGATTCCCTGCCATCGCTGCTGTGGGTGCAAGAAGGGGCAAATTTTGCTCTGTTTGATTTAGTTGAATGATCTGAATGGTTCCCAGCACTGTAGAAGATCCTGTTCCTTGTTGCTTTGCCAAGCATTAACCCTTAGATTGAAATTCTCTGTGCCAGTCATGGAGACTTTAGTCTGTAGGTCAATTGAATTTTGAACTGGCTCAACTGTTTCTGAGAGTGAAATGTAAAAGAAGATTTTTGTCTGCATATTTTTGCTATGTCACATAAACAAGTACCACAGAACAAGGCAATCTTTTTGCACTTCAGAAGGCGGCCATTGGCAGTAGGATATTATGGAAGAGTGTTTTGCTATCTTTAGAAAAAAAAAAAACAATCAACATGTGGTTTAATAATGAATGCAGCTGCCTGTGTGATCTTAACTTGGCTCCTGTTTGAGCTGCATTGTGATTATGTCTGATAGCATAAAGCAGATTTTCCACTGATGCTTTTTTAAGAAAATGTTGTCTGGTAAGTGCTTGTTCCTCATGCTGAAAGTACGGGCATGTGGGGCAAGGGGGAACAGTAATGCGAGTTTCTTGTTCTTCCATTCTGCTTTTTTTGTGATGGAGAAGTGAGGAGAAGACAGGAATGCTCACGGCTGTCTCTGTGGTACCACTTTCTACTGTCTGACCTTGTCAGCCCCCCATGCTCCCCCAGTTCCTGCTGCATTTAATGATTGTGCCCATATTTGATATTCTTACTTATTTCCTTATCCATTCTGTGAAAGAAGTCTTGTTTTTCTTTCACCTTAATACTTCAGTGCTTCTTGGGTCTTCGAGAAGATACCTTCACAATCTTGAGAAGACAGGATAGTTTTATTCACTGTTTTAATGGGTGATGGTGAGGGAAATGTTTTGGTGCCAGTAAGACAATTTGGGGTTGGGGCAGCCTGCTTTATTTTTGACAGACTAAAATTTTTACAGCATTTTGGGCATTTAAAGCACTAAATGCATCAACTTCAGATGAGTAGAGAGTGCAATGGCAATGCAGAGAGCTTAACAACTGCAGACATGTCTTCGGAGTTTCAGGTGCCCAGCAAATGAGACACGTGAAGAGGTGTTGGTTGACCTGGCTTGTCTTGCTTCACAGCGCATTCTCTGACAAAAACAGGGATTTAGTTGACTTCTCCGGGGTGGTGTTCAGCTGCTTTTACAGAATCACAGAATGGTAGGGATTGGTCTTGAATATCTCCAGAGAAGGAGACTCCACAACCTCCCTGGGCAGCCTGGGCCAGGGCTCCGTCACCCTCAGAGGGAAGAAGTTCTTCCTCATGTTCAGACGGAACTTCCTCTGCTTCAGTTTGTAAAGTTTTAACAGTCAGTTTTAACAGGTTCCTGTTTCAAAATGGGGAATAATATCCCATACAAGTAAGGATGCATGAGGTCTGACTGACAATCCATTAGGCCATTTTGAGGATTTGAGTTTTCATTTGTAGTTTTATTGATGTTTTTTTTTTCTTACAATATTTATTACGTATGTATTTTTAGTTTGAAAATATAGGTGTATTACAGTTTCCTTGTTAATTGTGTGTGGCTTACTTTAAGGAACCTGTATTGTTATCAGAGACAGAGCATGATTATGTCCTTAAAAATTATACAACTAACTGCAAAATTTATTGAATTGTCTGAAATTAAACTTACAGTCTTTCCTTGGATGTGAATAAACCCACTTGGTTTTGGTATTATGAGGATTGATATTAGTATCTTTGGAGAGGAAGGAATTCTGGGCAATCTGCCACCAGATTATTTTTCTCACAATATACTGTTTTTTCTGCTGCTGTAAACATGAGTATCACTCCCTGAAGCTGTTTTGCTTGTTGGATAGACGATGGGAAGGTGGAGATCCAGGCGTTTCCAATCAGAAGACACCAACTACCATCCTCCTGACACCGGAGAGAAAGTTTCACAGCTTTGGGTATGCAGCAAGAGATTTCTACCATGACTTGGATCCCACTGAATCAAAGCACTGGTTGTATTTTGAAAAGTTTAAGATGAAGCTACATACCACAGGTGTAAGTAATAACCAACTCTTTGGATAATTTGGATAATTGTGCATTTGCTACTCAATCTTCCTGTGGACAGTGCTAGATCTTGCCTGAAGATTGTGAACTAGATGATAAGCAGCTCTCTTTCTACATTTAGAGAGTAAAAAAAGGAAATTACAGTTTTCAGTTAACATTATGATTCATTTTGCTTCTCACTCCATTTGGCAAGCTGATTTTGCCAGCCTTCTTTCTAGATCATAGAAGTTCAAGATCTACTTTGCTTAGATCTTCATGTCCTAATTTTCCTGGGTGAAACCCATAGCTGTCTAGGGAGTCTCCATGAGGCTGGTTTGTTTTATGTATTTACTCAGAAAGCAGAATAGAAGAGCCATACTGCATTCCAGGGCAGAGGAGCAAATTTACCCAGAGTTTATCGTCAAAACTGCAAGTGCAAATCATGCTGTTAATTTGACATTATTCCTGCTTTTTTTTTCTTGGCCAGTACTTTCTGTGTTGAGGTGTTTTCTGGTTTCGTGTGTTGGTGGGAAGCCAAAAATCTGTGCTTTTTAACTCTTGGATTAAATATCTTGCATATGCAGCTTTGTTGCAATTACTTACAAATACATTTGTTGCAGTTATTTAATATTTAGTCCATATTTCTCTTTCTGCCTGGAGTTATTTGTAGACGTGATAGGTGTTTAAAAACAAAGTCTAAAATAAGCAGCAAATGTCATGCTCCAGGAAATTCACGTGGTGAGTTAGATCCTCTTCAGAACAATTCTGTCACTTTTCCCCATCCAGGTGGATAAAAAAGAATTCCCTTTCCTCAAGCAGAGGGAATTAATTTCAAGTTTACCTTTTCCTTTTAATAACTTCCAGTTATTTTCTTTCCTGTAGAATCTTACCATGGAGACAGACCTGACAGCTGCAAATGGCAAAAAAGTCAAAGCACTTGAGATATTTGCTTATGCTCTGCAATTCTTTAAGGAGCAGGCATTAAAGGTAGGGTAGTGCTTCCTTATCTAGATTTTTGGTATTTATAACTGGTATAAATGTGAGCTTAACACTCCTAACCTTGCCCAGCTTTGACCTCGGTAGTAGTTGATGTAAACAAAGCAAGGCAGCTGCAGAAACTGGAGGCAGGCTGTGGACTCTAGAGAGCTCGCAATAGCCTGCAGTGATTTTCCCCCACACAGGGGAAGCTTGATTCAATAGTAGTAGGTATGTCACTCTGATGCAGGCTTCTGAGTGTCTTCTTACTGGCTTCAATATTTTTCTATTGCTTTTTTTCATGAAAAAGTGTTGATTTGGAAAGAAAATTTAAAAGTGCAGGAGGTGAAGCTGAGGAATTAATTTTGAGACTGGGTCCCATCCTCATCCCCTACGCTTCTGCTGCTGCGATGATGGATTGTCCTGTGTTCCTGCAAGGTTCCTTCCTCTTGTTAAAGAGCTGGCACTGTGAAACGCAGTAGGATGGGCACCTACTGATGTCTCCTGCCCCAACTTGTCTTTGTCTTCACTGATTAAGCAAAGGGAATTTGGATGAGCTGGATTAATTTTATAATAGAAAGAGTCTTAAAAGCTCATTTACAATTTGGTGGCTTGAATCTCACTGTAAGTCGGTCCAAAGATGACCTGCTGAGGTGTACAAGCCAGCTAACCTAGTGGAAATAGTATAATTATGCAGTGCAATGATCTGTGCCAGCCACTGGATTGCCCTGAGAGGTGAAGTGTGTTAGCTTACGTGGAATTCTGCACTAGCGCAGATATATAGCCCCCGTTATCCAAACCCACTTAGGTACCCGTGCACAGCACTCCGTTATTCTGTTTTACACAGTTAAACTGTAGTGCGTGTGCCAAAGAGCCGCGGTTAGGCAGTGGTGTTTTGGCCCTGTGCTGACCCTTAGCAGGGGTGAATTTCATGTTGTTGTGCTGTGAGATGTTATTTGGTTGCCCTGATCCTGAACGCATGTTTATGCAGAAAATCTAACAAGCATCAAGGAGAACCAAAAAGTAAGAAAGACAGCTGCTAGGGGGTAACTTGTAAATTCATGCTGTGTTCTGATATACTGCCTCCATTTATGTTGCTTTTTTTGTTTTTTTTTTCCTTTTTTTTTTCCCTCCTACTGTGGCTCGTATTGGTAGGGAAAATGCATTCTATTTTCCATTTCCTATTTGAAATGGCACAATACTCATTTTTTGTAATATTCTTCCTGGGCCACAAGTTTGTTTTTTGTGTTCTCCTGTGAAGTACATGTTGCCAGTAAACAGTTTTTGAGATTTAAAATTTCATGTAAACAGTCAAATGTGACTTAAGTACACATTGGCTTCAAATGCACCACTGTAATTCAACATAAGCGTAGTAGTTGCTGGGTCAGATCAGAATCTTCATTTAAGCAAGCATTGTTTAAAATAGCCTTGTTAAAAAACCTGACCTGCTCTTTTGAATGAGTTTGAGTTATTCTCTGAGATCTCAGGCTATTCTTTATGGCAACAGAGGAATAATGCTATCATTGCAACTCAAAACCCTCATCTTGTCAAAGACTGTATTTAACTAGATTTTGGATTGATGGTGGAGTCACAGACTTGAACCTGTGCATAGTCTGGGGAGATTCTTAGTGAACATGAATGCTGTTGGTTACAATCCCATATGTTTTCTGTGCTGCCTGTTCAGGGCTACGTCCTTTCCTGATGTTAATAAATAAATCCCTGTGGTTTGTGAGTGCGTGCTGAAACTAATTAGACAAGCAATGTAAATGAACTGTTACTTGGGACCAGAATCTGTCCATTCCTAGTGCCCTGGGCAGCATAAAGGTACTGCTTTTCTAGCATGGATTTTTGAACTGCACCATAGCTAAACAAACACAACACCTTGGCACAGCACATGCATAAACATTTTTTTACATTCTAAAGGCCCGTTGTTCACCTTTCTGAACCTTTCCCTGTTTGGATGGAAATTTAGATAGGACATATGGTAGTGACATTTGACTTGGAACCTTTCCCAAAACATGTCAGTATATCACCTAATTTACAAATGCAGTACAGACATTCCTCTCTTTAGGGGGAGAAAAAGGACAATAAAAGAACTAAACTGGTCTTGAATGTTTGCTTGAAGCAAAATTTTCAAGGAGCAATCAGTCATTTTTTTTTAAAGGGTTTAACTGTAACTTCCCCTTGTTAACTGAGTCGTAAAAATTGATTTAAAGGTAAATGATGTATAAAGAAGTCATTGAAAAATCCAGATTGTAAAACGTTATGTTCATCAGTGATACCTCAAATATTTTTCTGCTTATTAATCAAGATGCAAGTGTGAATTCTTCAAGCTAACAGCAAGTCCCACACTGTGAATAAGAATGTACATAAATGTTCTGTAGTACCAGCAGTGCATGAGCTGCTTTTGGAAAAACTAACTTTTCTACTTCATGTTAAGCAGTAAATTTTTCTATAGGCCTGCTTGAGAAGGCATCAACCCTAATCCAGCTTTTGGCACAGTAAACCATTCTTGACACATTGGCAATAATTCTGATTTGTAGCATAGATGTAACAGCAAAAAAAATTGAAGAGAGAAAGTTACTGTTACTGGAGCCAGCAGACAATAATGTTTTCTTATTAAGTTAACACCCTCCATTTTGCATTCACCTCTATTTTCCTTTTCTTTAGGAGCTCAGTGACCAAGGAGGCTCAGATTTTGAAAACACTGAAGTAAGATGGGTGATTACAGTGCCTGCTATTTGGAAGCAGCCTGCAAAGCAGTTTATGAGACAAGCTGCCTACAAGGTAAGATTACAGACTGAAAGTGGAAATGCCTTTTTAAAGCCCTAGTTGACAGGCTAAATGATAAACTGTATTTGGGACAACTAGCTCCACTATAAACTGTAGAAAAATGGTCTGGAAAAGAGTCAGAGTAGAAACATTGAAAGAGAATTTAACTGTACCGAGCAGTAGCCGTATGTACTCATCTCTTCAGTGCCTTTTTCTTTCTATTTACTTCTATATATTGCCAAGGGAAACCTGATTTTGAAATACTGGACACAATTTTGTTTTGTTATTTTCTTTAGGTCATCACAGAGTTTTAAAGTTAAAAAAAAAAAAAAAAAGGAAGAGGAGGGAAAGCAAAAGCAAAGAGCCTGCTCAGTGGGACTTTTTTCCAGTTCCCATTTTCCCACAGTAGGAATGAAAGGACTATGAACCGGATAGTCTGGATATAAAATTAAATTCAAATGTTATTTTCACCAAGAAGAGGTTTATCTGCATTTAACCGTTTCCTCCACCCCCCCTCAAATATGTACACTTTCCATATGCACGCCCTTTATTTCAAACTCAGTTTATGTCTTTGATACACGAGATGTACATGTTCTTCTTTTCATCAGGGTATTTGTTTTCTGTTTTGTTTTATTTATTTTTGGTCAGAGAGTTGCGTAACCCGTTGGCAGCAGCTATGCGGTACACAGTTTGTAAAATATCTAGTAGTCGTGTAATTTGCAGAGTGCCCCTGGGAAGCACCCAGATTTTTCCAACTCTGTTTCTAACTATCTCTAATGTTGAGCAACGTTTTTCTTAACAGTCTTTATTGTGGGATTGCTAATGCTAGTGCCAGAAGTAAAACACTCTTAAAGTTCTGATGGAAGGACGCGCTTGTAGGTAAATTTGAAACACTAGAGACCCATTCATTATCTTTGTGTGTTGTTGTCTGCCTGCTGTCTGTGTGCATGTGTGCTTGTGAATGGGGAGCTGTGTAAGGAGCAGGGCAGGGTAAGGTAGATCTCTTGGCATTTCTCATTTGTGGCATAGTGGAATGTTGGTAATTAGTGTCTGTGTCTGTGGTTGTGTCTGTGATCGTGTACTTTTATTGGCAAGCTTGATAAATAGCAAGGACTGACAAGGCTTTTAACTCGGGGTGTGTGATCAATTGCAGGAAAACAGAAGAGTTTAGGGAAATAATTGAAGTTTATTTGACACATGGTTGATTTTTTTTAAAGTAATGGGGATGAAGAAAGAAGTGCAGAAAACTGAGAGTTCTGCATTGCCGTTCAGTCTTTCAGACTCCGATTGCTGGATCCAGCATCTCCCTCAATGCAGTAAGTGCAGACGGATCAGAAGTTGCAGCCCTTGCTGCTAGCTATTGGAACATGCAAGTGTCGTGAAAATGAGAGCTTGTTGTAACATCAAATGGAGCAAAGCGTGAAAAGGCAGTGCTAGAAACTTTGTTACTGGAAACACACTGAGGTACAACCACCGGTCTAAGCTGAGAGTTAACTAGTGGGAAGTGTTAATGAGCTGTGGACATTTGCTGGAGTAACCTGTGGTGAGCGACATAGCTCTAAGAGAACAGAAGTATGAATAACTTCGGTTGTTGGATCACAATGTGAATCCCAGCCTTTCTGGAATGGTTCGGTAGTTGTCTAGACTAAGCTTGATATTGCATAGAATTAATAAAGTCAATTAAGAAGTGTTGTAGAGCTGCTTCTGCACTCAACATCCATCAGCTTTTGTACAGCCTACAATCTCAGTGCAGCTCTGACATTGCCTCATCTCTGTCTGGCCTTAAACAAAACATTGCTAGCCTGGAACTCTTAATGAGCCCAAGGGCTCCCGCGACACTCCCTTCCAGCTGCTGGGCGGCTTTCTCCTTGGAATGAGCAATCTGGGTGTTCCTTCAGTTCACAGTTCTTCCTCTCTCTTCCCATCCAGCTGATCAAAATCCTGCAAATTCTGTCTGCGTGACAGCTTTTCCTGTCTGTATGTACTGCTGAGCTGAGCTTTCGTCATGGATTTTGCATCTTGGCTGCTGTAACATCATTTCCTTGGCTTTGGCAACTGTAATCTGGCCTGTTTTGTGTATCTCCAGAATATTGCCGCTAAAGGGTTTTGTAGCCTTGCATTTGACAGGGAATCAACCTGCATTTGACTCTTTCATCTGTGTCATCTCAGTCATAAGCTGCATGTCCTGGAAATGAACATCTGTAATGCAAACTCATTTTCCTCCTCTAAAACCCTCTCTAAAATGCAGGCTTTTTCATGCCTACAAAAAGTTGACTGTGTTTCACCTACTGATATGTGAAAACTGCTCCTCATTGCTTCTTGCTGTTACCCTGCCTGCTCCATGTGCATTCATCTATTGTGCTTTTAGTATCTTAGTATTTAGTGCTTTTAATGCTTTTTATACTTGAGTTCTTACTTCTTTGAAGCAGGTATTTGCTTATTCTCATTTGTCTTGCTCTTTGAGGCCTCCTGAGGGACGAAGTCTAGTAGGCTGCAGAGAGCTCCATGTCTTTACAGCTTCACTTAGCTGAATCAAAATTGCATTCTTCCTGAATAACGGTTCACAGATGCTTCTTCCTGTCCCTCAGGCTTAATTCCTGTGTGTCCAGAGGCAGTTCTAAAGCTGTGTGACACTTGGTAAGGCCTGGTCACTCTTGGAGAGAGCTCTGTAGCAAGAGCAGAGTGCCATCTCTGTAGGATCCGCTTTCGCTGAGGTTTCCTTTCTGGAAGCATGTCTGCTGGGATTAGCGTGCATTGCATCTGTGTTCGTTACATCCTGAGTAATGACTCTTAGGATGCATCAGTCAGGTTTCTCATTGTCTCCTCCCAGTGAGATATAAGGCATTATAAACAGTGTTAACTTTTCTAGTTCCTCTGTCCTAGTTGTTCCATTTAAAATTTTTTGCTTTGGTGTAGTTCTATCAGAAGTGCTGTATTTACCAGTCGTAGAAGGAATCCCATTCTCCTGAAGAGCTTTCATCATGAGTAATAAATACAAATTGCTGATATGTTTTCTTGTTTCGGAGACCTTGGCAGAGAGGTAAGGTTGGACACTGTGTAGGAGGACTCCATCCCGCTTATGTGGGTGGGGCCTGCCCGTATTCTTGTCCTTGCAGAAGCAGTGAAATACAACGTGCACTGGGCCTGAGGTTTAGAG